TGCAGAAAAGCAGGATTCAGGGCTACTATGAACCAGGATGCAGCATTTTGGATGCATTATTTTGCTATTCAAGAAATAGCCAGTGATGCGCTACAACAGAAGATACATGTGTACGCACATGCATTCCCAAGCCATCATCACCTGGATTTTTGCGGCAGTTGAAAAACACTGATTTGTAGGGCCAAAAAAAAAAANTTAAAACAGGAAGAATGAAACTGTTGGAAATGAGGAATTGAAAGTAATGTACACAGGTGTTCACAGAAAGTGACAGTTAGTGAGGTTGTGAAGCAGTGGTGGGTTGCAGGCGGTACACCCCGGTATGGACGTACCAGAGCCTGCCCGGAGCACCGGATACCGGAGGGCCCACCCAGCCTCCCGAGCTCCTTACTGGTCTTTTAAGCCCTCAGCTGGAGCGGGATGCGGAACCCACCCCTGTTGTGAAGCATGTATGTGGTTAGAAAAACAGTATCAAGGATGGAGTTCAAAATCAGCTCGGGGCCCTTTGATGTACAGCAGTCCTTGTAGGACTTGCTATATCTCATTGGCCCTCTGCAATAATATGTTCATGCAGTGTATTATTGCTATTATATCTTTTATATCTATTCAGTTCTAATATTCCAAATTATTAGAAACAATAAACCTCTGATCATCTCCATTACATAGATCAGGCCAGGCGATCGACTCTAACAGGAAGGCTAAACTGCCTAAATTTAGTTTTGTTCACCACACTAAAAAGATATTGAGACCATTGGTGAAATCTAAACCCCCCCCCCGGTTCTGTGGGCGTGGCTTGCAGGGGTCATGTGACTGGGTGGGTGTGACCAATTTTTTTTTCACTTTCAGCTTTTTTTAAAGCTTTTATTTTTTCCCTGCCGGTTTGGGCAAAGGGGAAAAATGGCAGGGGGGAAAATGCTTTAAAAAGCAGCTGAGCTGTGTGATCATCGGAAGCTTTTTTAAAATTTTTACTACCGGTTCACAGAACCAAGGACAATTGTCCCTACTAGTTTGACCGAACAGGGAGGATTTCACCCCTCGTTGAGACTCTAGAAAGAGTGCAGAGAAGAGCAACCGGGACGATTAGGGGAATGGAGCCTAAAATTTAATGATGAACGTTTGCAGGAAATGGGCGTGGCTAGTCTAGGGAAGAGAAGGACCAGGGGAGACAGGAGAGCAGTCTTCCAATATTTGAGGGGCTGACAAGGGAGGAGGGGGTCAGGCTATTCTCCAAAGCATCTGAAGGCCAGACAAGGAATAATGGATGGAAAGGAGAGATTCAACCTAGAAATAAGGAGAAATTTNGTATGTGCTAGTCATTCCTGACTCTAGGGGGCGGTGCTCATCTCCGTTTCAAAGCCGAAGAGCCAGCGCTGTCCGAAGACGTCTCCATGGTCATGTGGCCGGCATGACTAAACACCGAAGTTGCACGAAGCGCTGTTACCTTCCCAGCAAAGGTGGTCCCTATTTTTCTACTTGCATTTTTATGTGCTTTCAAACTGCTAGGTTGGCAGAAGCTGTTACGCAGCACTAGGGATTCGAACTGCCAAACTGCCTGCCTTTCTGACTGACAAGCTCAGCGTCTTAGTCACTGAGCCACCGCGTCCCTCTGCCAGTTTCCCTCTACATATGACTGTAAGGGAGCCTGACCTTTATAGTTGTAGGTCATGATGGTCATAAAACATGCCAACGCAACTTCACAATGTTTTTTGAGATGGTCATAAAGCAAAACAATGGTTTGCTATGGGCACATTCTTGAAAGAAAAAGGAAGTGCAAGTTTCCAGCAAAGCCACTGTGAAATGCAGTCACATGACAGCAGGATGATCCTTGATTTATGACCAAAAGTGAGCTCAAAATTTCAATTGCTAAGCAAGGCAGTTGTTCAATGAGTTTTGTCCCATTAATAACCTTTTCCCTCCACAGTTGCTTAGCGAATCACTGCAGCTGTTAAGTGGATCACACGGCCGTAAACCAGATCTGATTTCTCCCATTGACTCTGATCGTCGGAAGCCGGCAGAGAAGGTTACAAAGGGTGATCACATGACCACAGCATGGTGCAACTGTCAGAAGTACAGGCCAGTTGCCAAGTATCTGAATTTTGATCACGTGATCATGGGGATTCTGAAATGGTCGTAAGTGTGAAAAACAGTTGTCATTCACTTTGTTCAGTGCTGTCGTAATTTCGAACAGTCACTGGTTGCAAGTCGAGGACTACAGGCAGTGCTCTCAACTTACGACCACAATTCGGCCCCAAATTTTCCTTGCTGAGTGAGACGATTCTTAAGTGAATTTTGCTCCATTTTACGGCGGTTGTTAATTTAGTAACACAATTGTGAAATGAATCTGGCTTCCCCACTGATTCTTTTTCAGAAGCTCGCGAAGGGGGGACCCCAGGACATTGCAACCGTCATAAATATGAGTCAGTTCCCAAGCGGCTGAATTTTGATCCTGTGACCATAAAGGTGCTACAAGAGTCACACGTGTGAAAAATGGTCATGTCACTGTTGTAACTTCGAACGGTAACTAAAATGACCGTCGTGAGTCAAGGACTATACCTGCAGCTGTATTATTTCCCAGCGGTTAAAGCTTAAAAAAAAAAAGCAGAGGTTTTTTTACTCACATATCACAGGTTTTTGGGCAATATCATCCAAACAGTGTAACCCTTCAGGGTGGCTGTCAAAAGAGGTGGTGAAATTATACTTCACACTGCCTTCCGCAGAGGCATCCACTTTGGGGGAGTCTCCAAGGATGAAGCCATTGTACTCAACGCGCACAAATGTCACCGGACTGTCTCCCTTCAGGCCTTTCTAGAGAACGGAGACCACAACTGAGGACGGGACAAAGGGTAGCCTCACTTCCCAGTGCAAAACTAATTTCTCCTCTCCCTCCTTCCCCCCTCCCCTTATTTCTCTCCCTCCTTCTCTCTCCCTCCTCCCCTCTTTTTCTCTCCCTCCCTCTTTCTCTCCTTCTCTTTTTCTCTTTCTCCCTCCTCTCTCCCTTTCTCTTTCTCTCCCTCCTTTCCCCCCTCTTTCTCTCCCTTTCTCTTTCTTTCTCTCCCTTCTTCTCCCTCCCTCCCTTTTTCTTTCTCTCTCTTTCTCTCCTTTCTTCCCTTTTTCTTTCTCTCCCTCCTTTTCTCCCTCTTTCTCTCTCTCCCACTCTCTTTCTCTCCTTCCTTCCCCTTTTCTTTCTCCCTCCCTCCCTCTCTCCTTTTTTTCTCCCTCCTTTCCTCCCCCTTTTTCTCTCTCCCTTTCTCTTTCTCTCCCTCCTTCTCCCTCCCTCCCTTTTTCTTTCTCTCTTTCTCTCCCTCCCCCTCTCTTTCTCTCCTTCCTTCCCTTTTTCTCTTTCTCCCTACCTCCTTCTCTCCTTTTTCTCTCCCTCCTTTCCTCCCTTTCTCTCCCTTTCTCTTTCTCTCCCTCCTTCTCCCTCCCTTTTTCTTTCTCTCTCTTTCTCTCCTTCCCCTTTTCTTTCTCCCTCCTTCCCTCTCTCCTTTCTCTTTCTCTCCCTCCTTTCCTCCTTCTTTCTCTCTCTCCATTTCTCTCCCTCCTTCTCCCTCCCTTTTTCTTTCTCTCTCTTTCTCTCCCTCCCCTCTCTCTTTCTCTCCTTCCCTCCCCTTTTCTCTTTCTCTCTCTGCCTCTTTCTCTCTGCCTCTTTCTCTCTCTTTTTACTTTTGCTGATCTTGGATGGTATAACCAGCTTGGGGAAAATCTCAGACCTATTAAATAAAATCTGCAAAATGTTTTTTAAAATAATAATGAGGATGAGAAAGCCGCTTTCAAGCAATTTAATTTTCTTCATCCTAGTATAAGGCAACCGGCATCCCAAACAAATTTACAGGCGGACCATTAATCTCAAAGCAAATAAATCCAGAAGCCAGTAACCAGCTTTTAAGGACCTTGCAAAATAAGATATTAATATGTGGTTCAATTGTAAAAATATTATGTGCTTTAATCATTCTGTTTAAAAAACCTGAACATTCTGGAATGGTGTTCATATGGGCAGGAGATCCACTCTGACAATCCTCATTCCAGGAATTCCAGCATGAACTAAAAGAAGACAATTACCAAATCATGGCCATCCAGCACAGTGATGCTGACTGTTTTGCCCGGTGGCTCAACGGGAAAGGAAGGTGAACCCGCCATGAGAAGGAAGGATCTCTTGATATAGAAAGGTAGCTACAGCCTACGGAGAAGAGAAGACAAGGAGTAAATAATAATAATGAAGATGACAACTTGTTTATTGATCATTTGACTTTCCTCCCATGCTTCCTTATATTCCTTCAAATCCTGCCAGGTATATGAGGCTGAGGAAGAAACAACTGGCTCAAAATCTTGCAAGTGACCTTCTTGGGTCCAAAATTCCTTGGCAAGATCTCCATGCTGGCGAAGGTTTTGGGGAGATGTGGTCCAACACATGGGGAACACCCCATTCATCCATCCAATGTATCATCTCTCTCTTTCTCTATTTGTAACTGTATCCATCTATCCATCATCTATCTATCTATCTATCTATCTATCTATCTATCTATCTATCTATCTATCTATCTATCTATCTATCTATCTATCTATCTATCTTCTGTTTCTCTNAGGAGGGGGTCAGGCTATTCTCCAAAGCATCTGAAGGCCAGACAAGGAATAATGGATGGAAAGGAGAGATTCAACCTAGAAATAAGGAGAAATTTTCTGACAGTGAGAACAATTGACCAATGGAACAGAAGTTGCCTTTGGAAGTTGTGGGAGCTTCATCCCTGGAAGCTTTCAATAAGAAATTGGACTGCCATCTGTCACAAATGGTGTAGGGTCTCCTGCTTGGGCAAGGGATGGGTGGGGTTGGACTAGATGATGTACAAGGTTCCTTCCAATTCTGTTAATCTGTTTATCAGATAATCATCCAAATCTGATTATGCTGGTCTTTCTCCTTCTTCTTATACTTCAGTGAATCAGGGAGGTGTTTACCTGATTCACTTCCAAATGTGAACGTTGGGAATGGTTCTCTGGCTTAGCATAGGATGATTTCTTCCTCAGCCTTTCTTTGGCATGGCCTGCTTCCTTCTAGATCTGCGCTCGAGGGCAAAACCCCTGGCATGGATTTTGGCATCCGATCTTACTTTGAGATGTTTCAGAAAATGGAAGACACGTTCAAATTTTGTGTCGAGTGCAAGAAACTTCCCGATTCGTTACCTGACCCAAGAAGCCTACGGCGTTGCAAAAGGTAAAAATTAAACCTCCCCCTCCTTCAAGAGAAAGGGATTCTTTCTTTTCTTCCTCCAGCAGAATCATTACCATATTTTTCAGAGTATAAGATGCTCCGGAGTATAAGACACACCTTAGTTTTGGGGAAGGAAAATAGGCAAAAAATAATAATAATCTGCCTACCAGGTATTCATCTGGCTAGCATCCTTCAGCGCATTCGTTTACTGGTTGTGAGCGAGCGCTCTTTGGGGGCTAAAAAGCACAGCTGATCGTTGCAGGGAGTTGCAATTAGTAAAGCAGGTGAAACGCAGAAGAGGTAAGAGAAGGCAGCAGCTCTTCTGGGTGGCCATTTTGGGCTCCACGCCTCATGTTTTCAGCCTTCAAACGCTCCAATCACTGCCCGAAAACGTGGCCCAAAGAGGTGGTGATCGATGGTGATGTGCAGCCAATCCTAGCAGCCTTCAACAAGTCTCAAACGGGGCTCAAACGGAGTGTTTCGAGGCTGGAAATGTGAGGCACAGAGCCCCAAAATGCATTGTCTGTGCCAATCTCTGCAGCCAGGAAGAGGTCAACCCCCCTCCCCGGTGCATGCATGGCAGAGACTGAAAAATCAGCTGGCCGATGGAAGGCGTGTGCACATGCACAGTGGACGTGAGCTGTGGCACCTGTAGCATAGGTTTGCCATCATGGCTCTACTGATTCAGTTGTCTCAGCTACACATTTTCACAGTTTTAGTTACAAATGGACTTCTGTGGATCTCACTTCATACTTAAGAGGTCCATAGAGGAGGCCTGCACAAGCGCACTAACTTGCCTATTATTCCTGTCACTATATTGTTTATATTGCTCCCACTTTTGTTTCCATTTGACAAATTACAATAAATAAAAAATAAACACTAGGCGTGAATCCTGTAGAGACGCCATAAAACTCCTCTGAAGTTTCAAGCAAAATTAAATAGAAGAAAAGCAATGGATAAAGGAGATGAGTGCATGAAAGAGATTGGCAAGATTAGGAGACCACAATAGCCCACATGCCTGACTATTTAGCTCACTGGAAGTGAAATAATGCACCTAAATCACAAGTCTGGAATTGATTTATTGTTCTCCTTTTCTTCCTAGGTGTCAGAATGTCTATTATTGTGGTTCTGAATGTCAACGGTTGAACTGGCCCAGCCACAAAAAATTCTGCAAGAAACTGAAGCTGGCAGCTTTTGACCGACTCACGGAATGGCTTGTGTTCACAGGTAGCTTGAGATTCAGTTCCACCTAAGGAGGTTTAGAACAATAGGGATGGATCCCACTACAGTGGATTGTGCCATTTGTGACTTAGTTAAAAAAATGATGGTTAGACACCTAGGGGGTTAATGTGTTAGTCGGGAATATTTCAAAGACCATAGAATAATAGGGCTGGAAAGGACCTTGGAGGTCTTCTAGTCTAATCCCATGCCCAAGCAGGACACCCTATGTCATTCTAGACAAATCGATGTCCAGTCTCTTCTTGAAAACCTCCACACTTGGAATACTGCATCCAGTTCTGGTCACCGTGATACAATAAAGATGTTGAAACTCTAGAAAGAGTGCAGACAAGAGCAACAAAGATGATGAGAGGTCTGGAGGCTAAGGGATAAGCTGAACGATGGAGAAAACTAGGTGTTCTGACCTAAGCTTCCCAAAAGCACGAAGCCGACTCCTTGTCCCAATAAAACCCCTTTTGTTTATGTTAAAGGGAATTCCTTTCCAGCAAAGTCCTGGCCAACAGTCTTTCGTGAGATTTCACAACTACAGACCTTGATCAGGCTTGGAGAGCTGCCAGGCCGATATCTTCCAAACGCCATGCTGTAGCAGCAGTTACTTGGCAAGGAGTCAGGAACTAATTGTCTCCTGCAAACTCCACTCCACTTTCCCTCCTCTTTATTCCCTATGGGAGGAGCCATTCACCATTCTCCTGTGGCTTTACTCCCAAATTGACCCCTGTCCCTTAGCTGTTCCCTTCTCCTGGCAGCTCTGCGCATGCACACACTGGGAACAGGCTCCAGCTGTTCTTCTGCCCCACTGTTGTCTGACTCCGAAGGCAACTGTCAGATGGCCCTGGCCCCCTCTCTGACTCCGACACAGAGCCCTCATCAGAGCCTTCCCCAGACTCCAGGACTGGCCCATGTTCCTCCCCAGCCTCTTCCCTGCCTGAGTCTGCCACTGCTGGCGGGCCACAACACTAGATATGTCTAGTCTAACAAAGAGAAGGACTAGGGGTAACATGATAGCAGTCTTCCAATACCTAAGGGGCTGTCACAAAGAAGAGGGAATCAACCTATTCTCCAAGGCACCTGAAGGTAGGATAAGAACTAATCAGGGGAAGATCATTAAAAAGAGAGCCAACCTAGAATTTCCTGATCCTGAGAACAATTAATCAATGGAATGATTTATCCTCAAAAATGTTGTATTTGAAGGCCTTCTCTGTTAGAATGGGTCACCAGCAGAATCTTTGGAGATGGGGGAAGTAAAGGTGGTGGCCATAACTTTGTGGTTGAAGTTCTAGCCAGGCCTTCACATGGTTGTGTAATCACTCTTTTAGCTTCCCTATAGATGCTCCATGCACTGATTTAGAGGTTGGATGTGATGGTCTCAGTCAGTTTTAGGAATCTAAGATTCTTCTAAATCCTCATTGTCTTCTCGTAGGTGACATCCCTTTCCACACAGGCACATGGACCAAAAATATCCAGGACCTCCAAGGCTGGGAAGACTGGTTCTTGATGCAGGAACATCTGGATGAAAAGCTTAGCGCTATCAAAGCCGGACATTATATGAACATTCTCTGGGCCAATGCGGGCAAACCAAAGCCCAGTGAGGTGGAGCTGATGGAGTCCATCAAGAGAGTGACCACAGATTTTGTCTCCAGGCCAGTCACCATTGGCCTCGGGCTGAGCATGTTCCACCTGGATCCTTATGCCAAGCCCCTCACGGTGCATGTGGTTGGAGCTTCTCATGCTGAGACCCTCAATGCTCGGGTTACGGATTACGATGAGCTCTCCCAGATGTTTCCAAAGCATCAAGGCATAGAGGTGGTCATGGTGGGGGTGGACGTGGTCGATGGACCCATCATGAGACCTCCGCTGGTGGCCTTTGGACCCCGGCAAAGGGTCTACCTCAGCAGCTACAAGGACCTTTATCACAACTTCTGGGAATCACAGGTGGAAACTCAGCAAGCGGCGCGACCAGATCTGGTGGTCGCTTTTCATGCAGGTATGAAGGTTTATGGCATTCTTCTTGGATTATCTAGCCCCATGAAATTCAATGCAATGTAATGTTGGACTCGAACAGGGGTGGGCTTCAAAAATGACAGCAATGGGTTCGCTGCCCCATTGCTGGGTGGGCATGGCCTACTTGGCCTCCTGCCCCACATAGGAGGGAGGAGGTTTTCACTCTCTCCAGGCTCCGGAGGCTTTCCTCAAGCCTCTGGGAGGGCGAAAACTGCTTCCCATGGGCTCCGGAGGACTTCCGGAGGGTAGAAACGAGCCTGTTTCCGGACTTCTGGAACCTCCGTAGGGCCGGTTCCCCCCTCCCCGAGTCTCCGCATGGGCCCTGCACTTACCTGGCCTGATGAACAGGCCACAAAGAGACTCCTGGGAGGGGAGGGAGTGTGTTGGGCATGGCCAGCCAGCAGTGGCATTTGGGGGTTTGCTGAACTGGCAGAATCCTAGCTAGAGGATTGCCTGAATCCGTGCGAACACTCAGCAGCCCACCCGTGGACTTGAACCAGGGAGTATCCAGAGTTCAGCACAACTAAGGGACAACATGATGGGAAAAGCTGGCTTAGGCAAAACGTCAGATCCTGTAGAGCCCACACCAATAGGAAGCATAAGGGTGAGGTCCATCAAAGCAACTATTTTGGTCTTGTAATGACCCCGTAATCCAGTGGTGGGTTGCAGGTGGTACGGCCTGGTACGGGCGTACCGGTGCCTGCCTGGAACACTGGTTACCATTCTGGTACGGTGCTCCGGAGGGCCCACCCGCCCGAGCTCCTTACCTGTATTTGAGCTCTTCAGTGCTTCCACGTATGTGCATGGAGCGCATGGCGCCTGCATGATGCTCCACCAAGCATCTGGAGCATTGTGGAGGCCCGTGGAGGCGTCGCAAGAAGTAAGGATGCATGCGTGTGCTACATGCTTTCATGTGGTGGACGTCGGGCCCCGTTGCAACCAGTACGGTTGCAACGGGGCACAGAGCCCACTACTGCCTTAATCCCTTGCATCTGGGTGGAGTCGGGGCAACTGAATGGAGTGGAGTATTTACTGGCCGGATGCCCTTCCTGTCACCAGTGCAGAGTTTGCAGCTGATATTTATTCATCGTGCCCAGAGAGAGAAATACTTATCTAGGATCAAACTCATGGCCTCCTGATTATGAAGTGAGAACTCCACCTCTAAGCCATGGCTTCACTCAGGCTCCATCAAAGCCATGACCCAGGAAATTTGAAAACACAAGGCAGCTATTTTGGGGCAATTCATTCCTCTTATTTTAATTGGTTGCTTTATTATTATTATTATTTTTATTGAAAATGTTAGAAAAAAAAACTTTTACAAATGTTTACCTCCCCCCCCTACCCTCCCCNTCTATTCCTATTCTATTTCCATATTCTATTCTATTTTCTAACTTTATTCTATTCTATTCTATTCTATTCTCTAACTTCTATTCTATTCTATTGTTAAATCAACACAGGTAGTTCTCAACGTACAACCATTCATTTAGTGACTATTCAAAGTTTCCGCAGCACTGCAGAAACATGACTATTTTTCACCCTTATCACCGTTGCAGCATCCTGATGGTCACGTGATCAAAATTCAGGTGCAATGGGCTCATATTTATGATGGTTGTATGTCCCGGGGTTGCAACCTGCAGTCAAACAAGGTCAATGGGGAAGCCAGATTCACTTAACCACCGTGTTATTACCTTAACAACTGCAGTGATTCACTGAACAACGGTGGCAAGAAAGGTTGTAAAATGGGCCAAAACTCACTTAATATATGTTTCGCTTAGCAGCAGAAATTTAGGACTCCATTGTGACCGTATGTTGAGGAATACCTATATATAATATTAAATATAATATAATATCATGCTTACCTAATACCTTTATTCCATTCATGAAGGCCCATAGTAAGATCTACTGGGTCTCAAGGCGAAGGAGGTTAAAAATAATATTGGCTGCTTCCCCTTTTGATAGGTGGATTCCAGTCTAGATCTTCCCAATCTATTAAAGATGTCTCAGCGGAGCAAAAAAAAGACTTCCAAAAGTGGATATTCTAAGAACAACTCAGCAGAGGCCACTGTTCTCACCGGGGCAAAAATGGATGCGTTGGGTTTCCAAGCGATGGAGAGCAACGTTCCTGGGCTGTCCCAAGTTATCCTTCAGAAACTCAACATGAAGAATTACGATGAATATAGGTGAGCTGGATTAGCAAACAGAATGCGGAAATATGGGTGTGAGAATCAAGAAACATAGCCTATTGATCTATTAGATTCAATAAATCCTACGGGTAATAGAAGGCCCCAGAAGAAAGAGATCTGAGCCAAAGTTTTCAGCTAGGATGATTTCAAAATTTACCAGAAGTATTTGTAATCCTGCTGAACCGTTACTAACTGTGAAATATATATATTTTTGCAAAATATGCACTTGGATGGATTCGTTTAAAACAGGAAGAATGAAACTGTTGGAAATGAGGAATTGAAAGTAATGTACACAGGTGTTCA